AAACTCAGAGTTATATTGCCTTTGAGTTTTCTATATTAGATACTATATGTAGTACCACTACAGTACCCATGAGCCTCAGCGGCTACTGCCAGAGAATCTGCCAGCCTGTGAAATCAGTTCATATTCAGAACACAGAACAAAACACTGCACCTTATGCCACATTCACAGCCTATTATAATTGTGAGTAGGTGAAATTGGGAATTTCTGGTGGCTCTCAGATCTCTCAGTTGTTGAAAACAACTACAGAAGTGTCAACAAACTGGTGGCCAAATGGCTGCAAAGCCACTAACACTGACAGTTACATCCACATGAAATCCAATATTAGCACTAATGCAGACGATTCAACTAATCAGAAATGAGCTATATGCAGTTTTTTGTGGGTTTGCTTGTTAGTGAAAAAATTTAACTTGATTTTAAAAAAGCTAATAATGTCCATTCATCTGGAGTGACTGCAGGACGAGCAGTAGGGGTAATCATCCTGGAATAAAGCACAGACTCTTCAGTTCATCCAATTCTGCCAAAGATGATGTGAATGCAGCATTATTTGTTCATTTATTTACCTCTAACTTCAGCCCATTTATTTACCTCTAACTTCAGCCCACCATTAGCTGCCAACAACAGAATCTGGAGCTCTCTGATTGGATGTTTGTTTCTGCAGCAGTCTCCTGGACTCTAGTTGACTCCTGTTCTAAAACTGTTATGTTCACTGTCTGTTGTATCTTTGACTTTTTGTCAGTGAAGCAGATTTTCGTCAGCTCAGCGTCTCATTGTTTGTACTGATGATTCAACCGGCAGAGTATCGGGTTGAAATGCTCCAACAGTTGGTCAAAAAACATTTTATATGTGAAAAATGAAAAGGAGCGTTACTGGCTGTGTGTGTGTGTGTGTGTGTGTGTGTGTGTGTGTGTCTCGATGTGACCTTTCTCCATATGGTGTGGGACTGAGCAGGGGGACAGGAGGTGAGCCCTACACATGCTATCAGTCTGAGCTGTTAGCCAGCAGTCACTGAGACACACACACACACACACACACACACACACACACACGCTGGAGGCCATACATGTCATTGTTACCTGATATTCATGGTGTGTAGGAGAAACAGACGAAGGAGAAGGTCATACGTGTGATGTCAGAGGCGGTGCGTTCACTGCCAGCCGTGGGTTTGATTGCCGCTCGCTCCTCTTCCACAGCCGCGGGCTCTCTCTACCCTCTGTCCTCCCCGCCCACCTCCCAAAATCCTCAGCATCAGACCAGCCCCCGCCAGGAGACACACAGACCTTTCTATTTTTGATTTCTAGTCCAAGTGAAAACAAAGATACAGAGTGCCGTCAGAAATCTCTAACAGAGACTGTATTTACTGTATCAAAGAGAACTAATATTCATGGTACTGTAGTTGTGTCTGAGGATGATGAATAATGTATATAACACATATAGTGCAGCGGCTAAAATATAATTCTACAAAGCCCTTGGAAGGATAAGGAGAAATATATTTTAGATATGAAAAATAAGATCTTATTTTATGTTTTCTTTCAGAACTTCCCTTTTATCTCCAGAAATATTTAGCTGCAACCGCCCGAATCCTTCAGGATAAAATCTCCAGTAACATAAATGAACCAGAAAAACGGCATAAATTATAGATCAAAGTCGTCTTTGTGACCTTTACATCCTCATAGTATCTTGAATCTGTAGCTGTGTAAGTATACAAATCACAAATAAAATACCCTGATGTACTTTCACTTTGTATTTGAATTTATGTAAAGAAATGCAAAAGTTTTCCTCCCATCAAAAACATTATCCTCTATATCCCTTCTAGGGCTCCGTATAAAACAGTGGTACAACACTATATAAAATCCCACATTGTTACAAGCCTGGTTGTATGGGTATAGTTGTGGTCATCGTTTGCATCAGTTAAGATAAAAAGTTCACCTAACATCTTAATTGTGACTAACTAGTAATAATACAAATAACAGACATTTTCGATTTTCAGATTCATGTCATATCCATCTACCACAGGAAAACAATGATATCATCTGCTAACACACCTTCAAGGATTGTTGCTGTGATAAATTATTCTAACAACTTAACAGCTTTTTTCTGAGTTTTCAACTGTATCCAACAGCCTTCATCAGCAAATGGGACTAGTTCATGTGACACATCAACTACAGTCACATGATGTTTGTTTATAAGGTGGGATGAGGTCTTAAGCTCCAGAAAAAGCTTTTGAGTGAACCTTGAGACAAGATTTTTTTTTTTTTTTATCACATACATGTTCCCAAGAATGAGTCTCCATGCTTAACTATTGTTGCTATGGTTACATGCAGATTTATATATCTGGTACACTGATTTACAACAGTGTACACCTGCTGCTTTCTGTGAACATGATATCCTCTAAACCACTGACTGGGAGGGAAAATAGACTTAAAATCTTTATTCTAACATAATGATCTTTATTTCCTGGGGATTTATTTCTTGGTTCAGCATTACACAATTATTTTTTCTAAGGTGATTGGAACATTCACTGTATTACCTTTAGGATTGTTATTTAGATTGTTGGTTGGATGTGCAATGCCTCTCAGAAATTGATTCTGTTGTAAGCCCCAGATCTCAGCAACTGAACTGAAAAGCCAATCATATTATATCATTTTATGTTTATATTATACACACACATTTATGTGTACACACATCTCATAAAGCACTTGGCTGTTTAAGTTCCACTCTGGATAACCTGATGTCTGTTTGATAATCTCCAGTATTGGTTTCTAGATGCATTAGCAATGACTGATCTAATTTAAACAGAGATATAATAGCCTCCTTTAGCATGCTTGACTAGATATTGCATTACACACAGCAATTACTGACAGGAATACCGGTGCTGACAAATCATAGCACAATCTGAACAAAAGGCTAACCAGAAGGTTTTCCTCACAGCACTCGTATCAGCTTTGCAAAAGACATTGTTACTGGGCGTCATCGGTGCTTCTGTACATACATGCTTCTCTTTTTAAGTTTCCTTATGAAGCAGTGTAACCCCCCGAAGAGATATCTTTGATTTATATTCATATGCAGATGAGCATCCTTAGGAAAAAAGACATTCTTTTAAAGGGAAGAAGAAAGGGAGAAAAGGAGAGAGAGGGAAGTTGAGCTTATCACCACTCAACAGATGTTCAGACTAAATGTGTTGGTTTGTCTGTCTTGTCACTGAGGCTGAGCAGAGCAAAGCTCCAGCGCTGGCCTGTCTGAATGGACCAAGTCAACCAGCTGCAGCTAAGAAAAGAACATTTCTATAGTGGCTGTAATTTGCTCCGATGGCAGAGGTGGAAAGAGCCAGAGGAGGATCAGGATGAGAACCTTCAGCTGCCAAGGCTCTCGGCCAAACAGAGGAAATTCATTTTCCAAGTAGATACAGTAAAGGCACTGTGCTGCAGGACAGTGCCGGAGCCAGGTAGCTTGCAAAGAAAGTGCTGAGTGGACAGTTACCGAGCTGTGGACTGGCCTGCTGTCTCTTCCTCTTTCTTAAGACAAACATCAGAAAAACACAAACGTTATGAAAGGATTAGTTTTCTCCAGCATTGGGTTGAAGGATTCACCTTGATTTTAAAATCTTTTGAAAGCAACAGCTACATGTGTCTTATTTGCCCTGTGGAATGAGACAGACAGAAAAACAAGCGCTGCAGGAGTCAGAGATCAAAGCAGGAGCCGGAGTGACGTAACCGTCCCGTGTAGACCTCAAAAGTGCAGTTGGTAGTTGTAGGTGAGAGGAGGCAGGGATTGCAGAAAAGTTTAGAGAGGAGAGGTGAAGCCTTTAGGTTAGAAAACTAGGTTAGTGACCTAAAGGTTTCTGGCTCAAACCTCTTGAGGTGATTTGGCAGGTGCCCTTGACCAAGGCACAGAGGGTCAGCGGACCATACACTGTGGTGATGCTGCTCTGCTGCCAAAACATGGAAGTGTATTTGTGCTGAAAGAAACTCAGGATATCTCTGGATAAAGGTTGAATAAAGAATTATAGGAATACTCGCTTATTTTTCCATGTTTCTCTCTCCTTATCTCCTTTCCTTCTCCTTTGCTTCTTTGTTTGACTTTCCCCCCGTCATCTTGCTCTCCTTCCTTCCTCTATCTTGCGATATAACGTCCATGGCTGGTTGATTTGGGTGAGCAGGGGGAAACAGGCAAGGCCTCCACAGTTCAGGGCTCCGGAGAGCTCGGCCAGGCAGCGACAATCAATCACAGACTAAATCTCTCTTCTCTCAGGACTGCTGTGTGCCAGGTGACATGGTCAACAGCTGCAGAAATATAGAGCCTACAGTGCGTATTTGAATTCATATAGACTGGTAAACAGGCTCTACAGTCTAATACAATCTAAGACTCATGTTTGTTCATACATTTAAATCAACCTGTTTACATTTTTCTCATAATCTTTTCCAGCCATTAACCAAATCAGAAAATGGTCATACGAGTCATTTTTAAATGGTCATATGAGTCACATTTGAAGGCACCAAAAACAACTTATTTTGTTATTTAGGAATTCAGTTTTTGAGACACAAGCTTTGCACCAACACCCACATTTGGTGATCAGAAACCCTGGAAAGTCATGCAAAGTCACTTAGAGAAGAACGATAGAGGGTTGCTGTGTATAGCACAGTGTAAAGTCGAGTCCTATTTTTGTTATGAGTCAATGATTGATTAGCAAGACCGGTTGTGTTATAAAGGCCATTCTGTACACTTGTTTGAATATGATAGTATGGTACTAGTCAATCGGTTGCCATATAGCTGGTGTTATATGGGGTTATGTAAATTGACTTGAGTTGTATCAATGAGCTATGTTTGCTGAAGTATGAATGAAACGTTCATGGTGACTTCAGTGTTCTGTCTTAAGTAACATGTACTGTATGTGAGAGTTAAAGCTTCCAGTGGCACAGCATCACACACATGTAGATGGTGTCCATCAAGTGTAAAGTATATTTATGTCTGACCCTGGGTCCATGTGCTTTCTTTTCTTGCAGACATGTCTAGAGTTGGAGCGGTATCTGCAGACGGAGCCCAAGCGTCTCTCAGAGCTCTTTGATGAGGAGCTGGACTGTCTCTTAACACCAGCCTTCATGCAGGGTGGTGACAGTGATGAAGACCTGATGGACCCCCTCCTTCCCAGCCTCCCTGACCAGCCCAGCCCACTTCCATTACTGGTAACCCTCCCCAAGGTCCAGACCAAAATCGTCCAGGTGCCCAACACCAGCAAGACCCAAGCACAGGTGGGGACTGAAACCCTCACACCAAAGGACCAAGTCCTTGCAGGAGTCAGTGCCGCACAGCTTAGCGCCGCTGTTACGTCCCTAACACCGCCATCGTCACCAGAGCTCGGCCGCCACCTGATCAAACCCACACAAACACTGACTGCGACAGCAGATGGCACACTAACGCTCAAACTTGTGGCGAAGAAAGTAGGGTTAGGGGCGGCTAAACTGGTGGCTGCACGAGCGCTACCGTCACCGCCGAGCCGAGGAGGATCCCTCAGTGACGGCGAGCAGGGAGGAGGAGGAAGTCTGGGAGGAGACGTACCAGAGAACAAAAAGAGAGTCCACCGGTGCCAGTTTAATGGCTGCAGGAAGGTTTACACCAAGAGCTCCCATCTGAAGGCACATCAGAGGACTCACACAGGTAAGACCTTCATTACAATTACCTTCAGCACATTTATTCTGATATTAAGATGCTAACATTTTGAATTATTTCCGCTCTGTACTCCAACACTCACACTACGAAACAGTGATTATGAGGTTACGGAGCTGACTGCAGCTATAATTGTAGGGTATTCACATTGAAATTGGATGAACACTGTAGGACTCACAACCCGTGTACATGGGGCCCTTTTAAACAAATTAGCAACATGAGATCTTGTGCTTTTGTTTTACTAGTCAAAACAAATACCATGGTGATGACCCATGCATGAATATGCAAGAAACCTACTAGGACATTCAAGCAGGCTGTAGTACAGGCTGAAGTGTCTGATGATGTCTGTGAGACTTCAGATTAGGCATCAAATATTGAAAATTAAGAATTAAAAAGTTTATACAACTTTTCAACTGTCTCCTAAGATTAGGGAACTATATTGAAGTAACTGCAAGTCGAGCACTGTTAACACACTTTTGTTAAAACCTACTTTTACCTCATTCTCTATGATCGATTTCAACGACAATGTGCCCGGTTCAGAAACAACATAACAACAAATGTGTCACTGTCCTAATACAATTTTCAGTACTGTTGTCATACAAGATGTAGTAACTTCAATAATGTGCTTACAACTGGAGCTTTTAGTAAGGCTACCCAACAGAGACCTCACCTTGTGGGAGTTTCTGGAGAAATCTGCAAAGAAAACATCAGATTTTTCAGTTTTTTAAAAGAGATTAAGACCTCTACTCTTATTCTTCTGCTTCTCAGATGATCCTCTACATGTATTCATTCCCTCATGAGTCCTAATACCAGTTCAGTGCCAAAAGGCCCTGCCTCAGTAATTGCCTGATGATTGATAGACTGGTAGTAAATGACTCTGCGAATTCAGCCGTGTCCAACCGGGTCTGACGTGCAGCTTTAGCTGCTAACGACAGCTGCCCTGTCAGTGACCCTCAGACAGAACACACACCAGGCTAATGTGTCCAGGGGCTGTTTGCTGTGAGCTTTCCATAGTATTAGCACGTGGAGACGGGCTTTGGGTTGATGAAGGAGACACATGAGTGAAGATGGATTGTGACTGATGCTGATTATGATGAATCCTTGATTTGCTCGAGTTTAAACGCATCAAGAAACCTGTTATATTTTTCTAAAGGAGTTGTCGCTCATAACACATGGAAGCAAAACCTTTTAATCAATTTCACAATCAAAGGTTTGTACAGTGTGTCTCTTGTTTGACATACGGTAAGAGGAACTGGAAACTTTTCAGCAGATTCGTTCAGACCAAAAACAGCCCTGCATTTAAAAATAAAAATGCAAAGAGCTGTGCTAGTAAGGATGTTATTGTTCCAGGTACTGGTGAGGTATTGTTTAGAAACAGATCCATGACTTTGAAGGCTAATCAGACATCAAACCTCTACACAGCGGCTTATAATACTACGACGAGGGATTTTCTAGCTCTGGAGAGTTATCACAAAGACAATCACTATCTAAGTAGTCACGATGATCGGCAAGGTAATGTAATAATGAAAATATGGCATTCACTTTTCAAAGTAATCTGTAATCACCTTGTATTATGGCAAGAGTGGAGCCAGATTAGAGCTTTATTGCTAGGTGAACGTTCTTTCTTTGCCGGAGCCTGCTGTGTCAGCACCCCCACTGTGTCAATACAATGGTCGGATTGAAATTAACGAAGGGTAAAAGTCATTTAGGTGGAAACCAAAGACACATTTAGTGTAAGTAAAATCACCCAAAACTTTATGAAATGTTGTATTCAGTTAATATTCATACTGGAGGTTTTCTTTTAGGGTTAGGTTAAAGTGACAGAAACCGACGTAACACAGATCTGTATATTCTTAGAGATCCATTCATCTGTCTTCAGGTCTTGTGGATTGGACATCTCTTAGCCAGAGTAACCGAGGCTGAACACTTGACTTATCTGCAGCATGAAGCCTGTGCAGACTGGTACCACCTGAAGCTAGCATTATTCAACTTTAGCTGTAACCACCGCATCATTTACAGTATCTGGAGTGGTTCATAGCCTCCAGTTGTCATCATCCACTGTTAGCAGTTTCCTTGGTGTTCACCAGGATTACAGTGCACCGCCTGCAGACCTCCACTGTATTAATACCAGGAACCTTGGCATCATTAATCCAGCGTGTTACAGGCTTATATGATCCCAGTGACCATCGCATGGCTTTAAGTATAGCATTACATTTCAGGGCAGCACCTAGCATAGCCGGGGGAACCCACAGCTGTAGCTCTATTATAGCTAATCCAGAATAGAGCAGCTAGCTTTCTGGTAGCATGGCCGCTAGCTACAGTATCTTTAATCTTCTGATGATTCTACAGTCGAGTCATGCTAACCAACGATGAGCTTTTAAAGGCAGAATCATTCACTGAAAAAAAAAAAACCCACCCCAAAGACACTGCAGCTTTCTCACTGTGTGTGTGTGTGTGTGTGTGTGTGTGTGTGTGTGTGTGTGTGTGTGAGTGTGTGTGTGGTATAAATGTGGGGGCGGAGTATTCCCTCCCGATGTGTTCACTACAAGCGCTGCACTGTGGTTTAATTAGCTTAATCCTCTTTTTGGGTTATTATGACCATAAATCATTGAACATACATGTAGGGAGGGATTAACGTAGCAGAGACTACAGAGAGGAACAACTGCAGAAAGCCTGCACAGCATCAGTACACTTACTGTCACATAGTGCACACCAGAGGCCATTAGAAAAATCATTATTGTGAGTTCTGACAGGGGTATGTGCTGCAATATATATATATATAATGTTGGTAATAATACTCCTGTTTATATCCAAAACTATTTCACTGAACCGCAGCCATGATGTGAAGTCATGGTTTATTTTCTTATATAAAAATCAAATCAATTAGGGATGAGATGTAACATTAATAGATGTACAAATTAATTCAGTAAATCTCTAAAGTACGCAGTTAGAGCTGTTCTGAGTCGGAGCCAGGGTTTTCTGGTTATCTTGTTTTTTTCTTCTTCTCTTGGATCAGGTTTGATCTCTAAAAACTGTAGATGGCTAATAATTATATCCTCCTTGTTCCACCAGCGGTCCAAAACAATATACTTAAATACATACTTGGCATCTGTGATAGTAGAATAGATTAGCAGTTTTGGAAGGAGCGTAAGAGTGTCTGTCTTTTAAAAGTCTTTGTTGTGCTTTTACATTTTTGAGGGGAGCATCAACACAGTGTGTGGGCACCTTTTTCTACAAATTTGGATGTGCATGCAGTACACAGTCGCTCAGAGGAACATTTTGCAGTCAGGTGTCATTGTGCTTCCATTACGGAAAAAACACATAAACAGCACAGACAGGAAACTACCTAGCTCCATCAGTGAATCTTTCAACAACTCCTGAACTGTCTGGTTTACATGTGTTAAAGTTGACTGATGGTTTCCAGACTAAATAGAGCAAAAACAACAAAATAGAAATCCTCCAATCACCAATAAATGTGTAAAAACAGTGTTTACCCTCTTTTGGATACAGGTTTTAGTGCAAAGTGACAGAACAGAATCTCTTAAATGAAACAATAAGCTTTGTTACAGGCGGATCTTTATAAAACACTAAAACATGTCTGGAGAAGAATGTCCTCATAAAGATAAAGAAAGAGCAAATGAGGTCCCCAGTTAGCTCTGTGGGTAGAGCTGGCGACCCACGTACCAAGGTTGAGTCCTTGCTGCAGCAGCCCAGGGTTCGAATCCGACCCACGGCCCTTTGCTGTGTGTCATCCCCTCTCTCTGTCTATCTTCAGCTGTCTCTATCATAAAGGCAATAAAAGCCCCAAAAAATACTTAAAAAAAGAAAGAGCAAATTTCTGAATTTGATTGGAGTTCTCCACACCACTCAGTTGGCCAAACGTCCACATTTAAACCATCTTCACACAAACTGGGTTTAGATTTTTGTAATGGGACATTTTGAAGGCCATAAGCTTGTCAAACAGCAGTTGAAACCTCTGACAGTTCACAGTGGATGACATTTAAATGCTACCTCTGACATTTAATGTTTGCTAACAAAAATTTGTGGCGTTTGGAAGTCATGGACGCTATATATATATAAATATACATAGGCCTATATATAGCAACCCATTTTATTTTATTCTACCATTAATTAATGATATTGCTTCATCCCCACTAAACAACATTTTCTGATAATTAGCAATTCCATAAGTACAAAGGTATAGTTTACATTTTATACAGATTTTAGATTTATTAACACATAATATTCAGTATATACAGTGATTATAAGCTGAATCGGGTATGTGGTTATTTTTATGAATAGTAGTATCACTAGAGCAAAATGTGTCAATATTAACAAATAACTAATTATAGCGACTTTTATTTAAAAACTTGGTGTACTGGCTCATCACTAGTATATACTCTATATATTATAATAACCACTGGTTTAAATTCATTCTATATGTTATGAAAATCAATCAGTACAGCTGAAACTTGCTTCAGTTGTATAATCTATCAATAGAGAATGACTACTTATCGTTGCATTATAATGTAGATATTCAGATGAAAGGTCTGCACTACATAACAATGATCATGTTAGGTATCATGTAGGCTTCATGTTGATAATGGTTGATGTAACCGAAGCAAGTTTAAAAAATGGGCTAATTCTGGAAACCAATAGATGTCTATAAAACTAATTATACAATATTTTGCACATGGTTTGCAAAATGTCTCGCTGTGATGTAAAGCACGCTATAATTATATGATATGTAGCTCACAGGTTGAAACATGAAAAACCACTGGCATGGCCACTCCAGCTTGAGTCTGACTTTCTAAGACCTCAACCCGTGCCCCACCCCCCACCCTCAGTAGGTACCACCACAGCTTCATGTGGATTCAGGAAAAACCCTGCTGTAACCCCAGACCTCCACAGACATATACCTCTATACTCCTCTACACCCACTGAGTCCAACCTCCAACCTGCTCTCTCTCTCTCTCTCTCTCTCTCTCTCT